ACATTTAAAAGGTCTCCATTTAATTTCCTAGAACCTAGTACTGCTCTCTGGATTCAGAATATGGTCTATTACACAGTAATCGGTTAGTGGAGCACTCAACACATTTGAAACATATTTTACCATTTCAAAAGATAGTAACCATAAATTAAACAACAAAAAGACACTGCTGTTTAAGAAACAACAACTCAACAGTGGGATCTGGTTGCACAGGAGAGGAGCCTTTTAGATGAAGGTTCTACCTCCCATTCTACCGTTTACAGACTCTTGGAACCACAAGAGAGCCTATGTTTTTGGAGCAAAGTGATATATTTGTATAATATAGGGCTTTGAGCTCTTTAATTTATTCCAAGATTTTGGAAACTAATGGAAGGTTTGATATGGGTCTATAATTAGCTAAAACACCTGGGTCAAGAGTGGTAGAGGTTTAATTACAGATGATTAGCAGAAAAAACCTTTTGACCTTAATAAGTGTACTTGGGATGGGTCTAATAGACAAGTTGATTATAAAGATTATAAACGAAGACTTGTGAAGTCAGCTCAGAAAGATCTATGGAAGAATAGTGGTCTAAATATAACTCTGGTGCTATAGTTTGTTCTGTACTAGACATGGGGAGGAGATGGTGAATTCTTTTCCTGATGGTTACATTTCTATTTTTTAAGAAGCTCATGAAATCAGTACTACTCAGAGTTGCAGGAATAAATAGTTCAGTACAGCTCTGACTCTCTGTCAGCCTGGCTACAGTGCTGAAGTGGATCCTGGGGCTGTTCTTATTTTCTTCTATTAATGATGAATAATAAGAGGTTCTGGCATATCGGAGTGCTTTCTTGTAATTTATCAAACTGTGAGAAAATCATCTTGATTGGTGAATCGCTTCTTTCTTTCTTATCATGATGTATGTTTAAAAGCACGAGTATATGACTCAAACTATTTAGCATGAATGCATGGCCATTTAGGAAGCCCAAGGCCCTGTGGTAATATGCCGTTTTTTCTCTTGCTCAAAGTTCAGTGGTCTACCAGTTTGTCTTCTTTGGTCAGGGTTTAGGGGATCCTATATATATATATAATATATATATATATATATATATATATATATATATATATATATATATAAACCTGTAACTACTTGGTCACTTTCTAAATGGCGTCCCTGTGTTCATGTTTGGTGAATTGAGTCTTATTCTCCTAATTTCTCAACATGGGGTACACAGTGTCCACATATTCATCTCATCAAGACTTCTTTTTTCACCACCACTTTCCATCCTTCACATAGTTATGATCTGTTGATTTCAGAGATCTTTGCATCTTATATCAGAGTTTTTGGTTCCATTTCTGCCTTTTTTTGTTGTTTTGGCATGACTGGACTGGTAAAATTATCCATTTAGCTCAGTCCGCCCTTTTGCTGGAACTCTGAAAATGCTGAAGCTTGAAGCAGCTCAACAGGGGCAGTTGATGGTCCACAGTGCATCTATTGCACTTCTGTCCATCCTGGGAGAGGGATCCCTCACATGTGGCACTCTCTGAGGTTTCTCCGTTATTTTTCTCCCTGTTAATATGGTTTTTGGTAGTTTTTTCTTACTCTTGTTGAGTGTTAAGGACAGAGGATGTCACAGCTTGTTAAAGCCCTATGAGACAAATTGTGATCGGCTATACAAATAAAATTTGATTGATTGATTGATTGTTGTTTACATCACGTGCTGATGAGTAAACTGAAAAATTAAAAATATTGATATGGGTCTATAATTAGCTGCTGATGAGTAAACTGAAAAATTTAAAATATATTTTTATAGCGTTTTTCTAGTGGTCTTAATAACCACTCAAAGCAGTTTAAAGTAAAGTTTATTGCCATTCACATCCACACATATAATGCATCTATGTGCAGCACTTTCCCTATGAGAATCTGTCATTTTTGGGTTCAGTATCTTGCCCAAGGACACTCCAGCATGGGGATGACTGGGTCGAACCACCATCCTTCAGGTTAGAGGAAGAGATCTCTACCCACTTCAGCCACAGCCTTTCCAGAGATGCTGTCCTAAAGATTAAATTCTGGCTTCTTTGCTGGAACTTTGCCTTTGGGACGACCAATGTTGGGGTTACTGGCTTTGAATGACAAGCTAACGTATCTGTGGAATTTTCGGCTGTCTGAATTAGCTTACAAGCATTGCTCCATTAAACATTTTATCTGTAAACATCATAATGGGAAATTACAATATAATAAATAATTTCACTTGACCACTCCGGTCCTCTCAGTGACAAAGGTTTTTCTACCGGTGGTCTATCAGTGTAATTATATTGGAATTATTTCATTAGTGTGACGTAGTTTCTTATGTTGGTGGTGCACATCTTGACCGTGGCCATTCTTCATTCCAGACCCAAATTATTTGGACAGTTCAACATTATTTGTTTTTAAGCCTATGAGCTTTAGCAAATTAAATTAAAGCTGCAACCAGCGATGGTCAGGCCCTCACAGTCCATGCCTGTTGGGGTGTGCTACAGCTGCAGTGTTGTTGCTAGAGGTTGGTATTGCGTTTGCACAATGTAAATTCAATGTCAGTTAGTTAGCTAGTAGGGGGTGATATAATTATGGTGGATTTTGTCATGTAAAGGTCGTCAGGCCAGGTTATCAAACATGTCTGTATTGTTTTTGTCGCCAGAAAGGAGTAAAGTTCTTTCTGCAGATTATGTTTTTATTATTATATTATTATTATATGTTTTGATTATGTTTTAACTTCATTGTTGCAGAAAAAGCAATACCCCATTTATCCATGAACTTAAATATGAATTCAGCAGGTTATTATGCAGATCAGCTGTGTGAGTGATTAGAAAAGAGCAGAGGAGCAGAGCCTCTTGTTGACCAGCGGGGACACCCTTTAACTGTAAGGCTATAATCAGAGTTTTTCACCATACAGAATCAGAATCAGAATCAGAATTCTTTTATTTGCCAGGTATGTTTGCACATACAGGATATTGCCTTGGTGTCATTGGTGCACTACTTATGTACATAAAACAACAATATAATAAACAACAGAATACAAGCCTTAACTCCCGATTGCCACTGTGTAGTTATTATATTTCGCACACTGATTGGCAACTAAATGTTTCCTAGGCTGTCTGTCATTTTAAGCTGAGAAGAAGTTTAGGGTTCCCAAAACTGTGAAACTTCCCACACAGTCTAGACTGTACAAATGAATCAGAACAGAGGTATAGTACTGTTTTTTTAATCACCTAATCACCAAGTGAACCAATGACTCTCAATTTGTGGCTCATTTCAAAATGTATGACCAAATCATCAGCTTTCATGCCCAGTAGCATTGTGATGCTGTCCACATCTAATTGGTTGGCATTGTATTGTTTATTTGTAATTGCATCACAGATATTGAAACTATCAGATGAACAATCTCTGCCTTTTTATCTTTACTTGTAAATGCTCAGATTTTCATCACTGTGCTGCTGTGACACTATGATGGCTATTGGCACCTTTTTCCTCTGTGTTTGTCGGTGCATGAGTTGATGTTGTGAATCAATAAATACAACACTACAGTTTATATGACTACTTTTACCATTTCTTTTGTTTTTATTCGCTCCTCCTTCATTCTTCTATTAACTATTCATTTGCCATCATACCACTGTAAAAAGAAGTGCACAAGCAATAGCTCTTATATTTTTGGGTTGGATGGTGTTTCTTCCTCCTCTGTCATTAACAACATTCTTATTACTCTGCAATTATCTTTGGTTTCCCCCTGGAGACAAGAGAACGTATTTATATCACAGACTCCATGTTGCAATGAAAAACCACCTCAAGGTTTGCATTGGAACATAGCTGTCACAATACCAAGTGCTTTGAGTGTAATTAGGACTAGAACAGCACCACATAAATACATACGATTTAACACACTGTCAGTGAAGTCTTTAGGCCATAATAAAATGAGAGCAATGCTCTTATGCCATGGAGAGCTCTTTTGGAATGAAAGACTTTTCCCCAGCAAAATGCCCAGAAATGAGCATTATTGTTGTGATCCCCAGCCATATAAGTTACATCAGAAGCCAGAGCAATGTAAGTGTCTAAATATTAATTAGAAGGCTTGTGTTCAAAGAAGTTTTAATTCAATGTAATAGCGCAATCATTTTGACCTCCACATCTTAACCATCCATGCATACTACGCACACACATGCACACATTTTTGTAATTCTATCGTAGTGAGGACACCAATCAACATAATGCATTCCCTTACCCGAACCTTAACCATTACAAATAAATGCATAACCCTTATCATAAACCTAAAATCAAGTCATTACCCTCATTGAAGGTGGGTCAGAACGTGATGATCAACCAAAACGTCCTTGCTTTCTCTAACTGTCTTCATTTTGTAAGTTTTAGGCTCAAAGTGGTCCTCACAAATACATATGTACAACCACACACACACACACACACACACACACACACTGTTTGAGCATGCACACCCAGAGCAGTAGGCCACACCTGTGCCACGCAGAGGGAGCAATTGGGCGTTCAATTTATTTTCAATTTTAATTGTATAGTGTCAAATCTTAATATACATCATCTCAAGGCACTTTACATAGAAGTAAATGCCTTCTATGGCATTTCTCCATTAGGGTGTCTTGCTCAATGCCACAGCCATGGAGTAGTGTTGTTCATTCACTTCCCCACCCACACTTCTTCCAGTCTATGTTGAGATTTCAACTGCATCTCAAACATCTGATATCTTATATGGACCTTTGACTCTCAGAATAAAATGAAGCCTCAGTAAAGTTGATGTTAGAGTTCATGTCATGTTAAAATATCTTCTTAGTACTGTAAATTCCTTCATTCTAGAGGGATAGGAAAGAGAGTATATTCAGTTAACCAGATAACCAGTTTGTGCTTTTATTTACTTGCTGTGACAAAAGCATTCTTTATCACATTTCTTCAAGCCTGGGTTTATGAATTATGAATGCCAGATGTGTCCTCCAGAACATTTCCCCTTAACCATTGGCTCTGTTAAGTACTCACATTTTGTATGACTCTCAATACCAATCTGAAACCTAATGTATCCACAGGAGAGATCAGAGCAGTGGCGGGCACACTCTTTGATCTCATAGAGCCTGTTCTCATTGGACCTCGGCTGAAGGAAGTTCCAGGTTCAGGTTTCGACCACAACTTCTGTCTTTCATTTCCTGGAGACACCTATGCTGAGAGACATGCTGCCAGGTTTGCTGCCTTTTCTCACACACATGAACTAAAACACACTACACACAGTCACACACAATAACACGTGCCCATGTCTTTCATAAAGTCTGTTTGAAAAACTTGTTTGTTCACCTCAGAGTGCATCACCCGGCCAGCGGTCGTGTCCTGGAGGTATCTACCAGCCAGCCTGGTGTCCAATTCTACACTGCCAACTTCTTGGATGGCTCTATGACAGGAAAGGGTGGGGCTAGATATGGGAAGCACAGCTCCTTCTGTCTGGAGACACAGAATTGGCCTGATGCTGTTAACCAGGTATGATGATTATGGAATGTCATACAAAGTTGTTTGGTATGATCTGCTTCCCTTCAAATTTTGTTTTTTGACGTTCAAACATTAACTAATAATACACTAAAAGCATTAATAAGTGATTTAGTAGTCAATTATCAAGCCATTAGCAACAACTTTATAAAGGGAACCTTAATGCACTACCATAGTTAGTTGTTTGCGTGTGACCAGGTGTTGTTTTCTAGTCAATTCCTTGGTTTTCACAGAAAGTATATTGCATGATTATGAAATATTTGAATCACAATGTTTACTTACACATGCTGAAAAAGTCTTGTTGGATATGGCTGAAGCTCTAGAATAAACATGGAAGTAAATAAAGCTTAGTTTTCTATATTTTATGGTGTATGTTTTTCTAAATATTTGTATGCGTTTGTAACATATAATGTTATTTGGAGATTCAAGGGTTCAAGGATAAACCCTGCTATATGTTGTACAGATTGTAAAGCCATCTGAGGCGAGTTAGCAATGTGAAATCCATTAATTCATTGTACATAATCTGTCTGTCTGTCTGTCTTTCTGTCTGTCTTTCTGTCTTTCTTTCTTCAGGCTTCATTTCCTGATTGTCTTCTGCATCCTGGTGAAGAATACCGACATGTCACTCACTTCACCTTCACCACTGCCTGATCTGACCTTCAGACCTCTATGGGCATAGGTCTGCCAATCCTCCAATGGTCTTTACAGGCAGAACAAAGAATTAATCCTGTACATATTAGGTGTGAGGCAGTGACATGATGCTCATAGTGCAACTTGACCAACCTGACGATGTGATGATACATTGCATCCTTACATTACTCAAAAAAGTAAAAAAAAACTTACTCACTCATGCAAGTCATCGTTGTTTGTTATAATGACTTTTTCCTCTCCACAGTTGCCAAAGTGCTAGCTCATTGTGGGAATTGTTGTTGATTTTAAGGCCCTGACCTTCTATGTAAAGTGCCTTGAGATAATGTATATTATGATTTGGCGCTATACAAATAAAATTGAATTGAACTGAATGTGTCATATTGGTCCCTGTTTATTCAATTGTTGTGGTCCATCTGTACTAATTGTATAGTATTAAAAATTGGAGAACAGTCAGACTGAGGCTGTACACATTATTCATGTGGTAACATAGCTCTGTGGGTCTTCACCTATGTGTATTCAACATCCTTTTAGAGAGATGCTGTGTTGCTATGGTACCCATCATCCATCAATCAAGGAGGCTTTTAACGGCTGGGATTTTATAAAGTGTGATAGAAGTTGTCAGCCTCACTGCCCAAGAGCCATAGAGGAGAGAAGGCAATCATAAAACAGTGGCTGTGTGGCCTACTAACATTCCACATGTGACTGCAGGGAGCATAGTGTGAGGCAGTCTTCACAGACAACATCATGAACCCCCGTAAAGCTGAATTGCATGAAAAGAGGTGTGAGCTCTGATTCACAGAAAACTGGTATCTCCCACAACATCTCCAAAACTGGCTCTTCTTTTGTAGTTTCTGGTTCTTGCTGTTTGAGGACTGTAATGTTACCACAGAGTTCTTGATTCATAAAATGACTTGTGCCACATAAGTCTTTCAGAGCAGGTCCTCAATATATCAATTCAATTTTATTTGATTGCCGCCAGATCACAGCATACATTATCTCAAGGCATTTTAATGCACTCAATGTGGGCTCCAGCAATTTGCCCCGACTAGATGGGGTAAGTGGAGAAAAATTGGGAAAGAGAGTAGAGATAGTAGATGGTACAAATTATGTGAAGGGAAAAAACAAAGTTTTGAGGGGGCACAGAGAGAGGAAGAGAGAGAAGTGCTCAGGGCATGATAGGAGTTCCCCCAGTAGTATAGTCCTATAGCAGCATAACGTAGAGTTAATTCCCATTTTACACAGTCACACCCACAATCATTCAATAATCCAATCACAACACCAGACCACAACCCCACTTAATAAGGATAATCTGGTTATTTATTGGGATGCGTGTTGTTAAATCCGTGGGTTGTTGCCCGCTTGGGAGTGGATGCATAATCTCTGACGTCGGAGATAGACTTCCAGTGGATTGGTGAGGAAGATCTGATGCTTCAGTAACTCAGTACGTCCTACTTTTGTTGTATACATATCAGTGTTGTTGAGTAGCTGGGTGCTTAACTGAGGTTTCAAATGTTCCTCCGGGTGAGACTCCTGGACTGCCTTCAGGATTATTCTGTGGAGGGGGGCTCAAAAAGGAGGGTCGTTGGTAGATCCATTTTCTCTATCTCCTTTTGTTTTCCTCTTTGATCATATTGTGACTGACTTGCTTGTAGTGTAATGAGCGGGCTAACCAACCAGTGTAGACCAAATGGGGATTGATGTTCCTGAAGATCAGTTTCAGTACAGTGGATTCCTGAACATCAGGCTCCCACCTCTGACACAAGGAGAGGTCCATCAAGACAAAATCGTGGAAGCTTTCGCCATCACATTGCACCTTTGTTCTTACTCTCTCTGCCAGTTCATCTTCATAGTCCTCAGACAGAAAGGCAACACAGAACTCTTTCTGAAACTCTGACCAGGTATGGGTGTTTAAACAAACCGCATCCCACCAGTCTCTTGCTGTTCCATTCTTCAAGGTTGTCATTAACTCTTCTTCAGTCTTAAACTTAAACTTCCTTTATTGATCCTACAGGGGGAAATTCTTTTTACACTCATTTTTCATTATACATGCAATTTAACCCACAATCCCACACACACACACACACACACACACACACACACACATGCACATTTTGGAGAGAGATGGTAGAGTGATGGGCAGCCCCAGGAGAAGTGCCCTCTGAGCAATTGGGGGGTATGGTGTAGCCAAGATATCATTACACTTTTCCAGGTATAGAAGGGGATAGTGACAGCTGCTTAATAGGTGGTGCTGGCCAACCCCTCCAGCAGCCTGAGACAAAAAAGCCTGAATGAAAAAAATATCAAACATAATTTAATTACATAATAATTTACTCATACAATGCATTCAATATAAGTTATTTCTGTCTAAATACATATACTTCCATGAGCTCTCTGTTGTCTCTCTAGACCCCTCTTTTTTAGGAATTTTAAATCCATCTCCAAGCTTGCTTTTTTATCGAAAATTTGGAAAGCATTTCAATTGGTTTCTTTTATAAACAACAACCAGATATTTGAGGAATTTCAATCTGACATAGCACTGACAATCTCATAGCACTGAGACTGAGACGCTGTGCTTAGATTTTGGTTCAATCACTCCTGGCTTCAGAAATGTTCTTTTCAGTTTTTGTGATTTCTGTGTGTGAACCATACACTGTACGGGGTGCACACAGCACTGCAGTTTCATGCCCTTTAATGGACACTGATGGTGACACTGATTTGGTGTTTAGCTATGCTAAAAAAAACTGGCAAAGACCTGGTATTCATCAATATAAGAACACATATGCAAACAATTCTGCAGTTTAAGAACGCGTCATTATTTCTTAGGATACTTCTTAAGAACAAATTTAAGATTGAATGAGGCCCATGGCTTATAACTTGTAAAAATGCATGTGAAATGTAAAACGTTTTTTGCATGCATTGCTTTTTAGGCCTCCGCAGAGACCTTTTAACAATCCATGCACTGAGCTCCATGGGATCCTCTATGAGCGGTGATGATTGGTCAGTGGGAGCTGTTTTTATTCAGTTACTCTCTTATCTTATCTTAAGTATTTTTAACATTCCCAATTCTTTTTTGTTTATTTGATTGAAAGATTGATTTGGCTAAATAATTTTTTTGTCACTGCTTTTACTGTTTGGTCCCTAACAAGCTGAAATCCTTTTCGACTCTTTTAGTTTCTGTGGTTTGTGCTATTTGCAACATATGTGTTTTATTATTGTATGTATTTGTAGTGGAGATTGTGTATTTTGATTTGTTTCATTGGCCCTGTTCAAATTTCTCTGGCCAATGAAATGCAAATGAAGTCAAAATTAGACCTAAGCATCTTTTCTACATTATGTCTTGACAAATATTGGACACAGACATGTATTGTTTATGCTGATACGATATATCTGTGACAGACAAATATCAGCCAATAAACTCAGCTTTTGTATTTACAGTATGGTTGTTTGTATACGTTTTCAGCATGTTTTGTATTTGGTTGTGTGTATTTACAGTGCTGTTTGGTTGTATTGTCTGGTTTAGTATTTGCAGAAGTTACTGCCGGACTAGCAAGAACACATGCTTCAATTGCAAAAATAGAATCTGCTCAATGACGTGTAAACGTGCGCATTCCGCCTCTTGCAGTGGCCACTGTGAACTTTAAATTAGAACTCTGTTCTGCAATCTTTCAGTAGATGTGGCGTCTGTAATAAGGCCTAACAATGATCTGATGTGATAACAAGGTGAATTGTCTCTTGATATGCTTGCGAATTAACGGTTATACCAACACTGTCTCTTTTGCCATGTTTTTTTTCCAATGCCCAACAATTTTAAGAGTCTCCTCCGTTTTTCTAGCCCTCCATTCCCTTCTCTGCTTCCCCTCTCTGCGCACTCCTCTGCAGAGCGCACATCCACACCGGCCAATCGCACGTCATACATCCAAGGTAAAGGGCCACACGGACCAATAAGAGAACAGCACGGGGTGGGATTTATCCACTCACACCTCTGCTCAGAAAATCAGTGGTGTGGGAGGACGCCAGCAAGGACGGGGACAGGTGCAATCAAACAGAGACACGAAGGCACTCAACGACATTGCATTTGACATGGACGCATCAGCCTGACCAGCTCCAGCCCCGTTCTCCAACAGGTCCACCGCAGCCGCTAACATGTCGACGGTAGAAGGAGCCGGCCAGGATGAGGAAGGGGAGTACGGAAGGGCGGCAAAGCGGCTGAAAACGGAGGAGAGGGAGGAGGGGGAAGATGAGCTGGAGGAGGGGGAGGATTCGGACTCCGGCTCGCTGCCTGGTAACGCAGATTCAGTGGTGGAAACCCGGGCCCGGTGGAACTGCATCGAATACGGGGCAGGACGGAGGGTAAGGAGCGCAACAATAGAATATGGTGATACCCTGACGCACAGCATCACGGAGGGCGCTGTTTACTGCTGCTGTCATTCTGGGAGGGAGCGAGCAACCTCCTCCCTGTCACGAGACGCACACACGCGTAATAATAACCGGACCGTAACCTTAACCATGATTACTTTTTGCCTGCCCTATTCCTCAAGATGGGGGCGGTCGATCTCCCCCACTCAGCGTGCCATATTTTCCTTACGCAAGATACTGACCCCCCAAATTGCCCCTAATGGCTGAGCCGACAGTGTGTTTGTGTTGTATGGTTGTGCTGCTCATAAAGTCGGTGTGGATGTGTGGGTGGATAGACAAATGGCAATGCTCTACTGTAAAGCGCTTTGCGTGGTCATCAAGACCAGAAATGCTTCACAGAAATACGGATAATTTAACATTTAACATAAACCTAACCTTATCTCATCTTAAAGCATGTCTACACCTCATGGTGACTTGTTTCTTGTCCCCATGGAAGACAAGTCCCGTTTCTGGCCCTCTAACATGATTAATAAACGATCACACACACACTTAATCACTTCATGTTATTAAAAGGTTTTCTTTGTTGGGCCATGCCTCACCCCTCCACAAAATCTAGTGGAAGTCTGTTTCATCGTATTCAGTAATCTTGGAGATACAACCTTAAAAAAAAGGTTCAATTTAGAACCAAGAGTGGTTCTCCACTGCGATACCATAGGGCAGTGGTTCTCAAACTATGGTACGTGTACCAACAGTAAACCGAGCGCAAGTGCTAGGAGCTACAACTCCACAGCACCTGCTAGCAGCAAATGGCGCAAAACAGTAAGGAGATATGACAGAAGTTAATATGGATTCAGTTGGAGTGGAAGGGAGGAAGAGCCCAGGCCACAGTGTGTGGTATGTGGCGATGTTCTCAGCAATTAATCCATGAAACCATCGCATTAGGGCTGCACGATATTACGAAAACATGCAATAATGTAGTGATTGGGATGATGATATGACTTCCCTGAAATAAATGTAAACAGTCCCTGGCTACAGACACAGAGATCACGGAGGGAGCCATGCACAGCTCCACTATGTCCGCTTACAGTGTTAATTTGGGGTCTCTTTATACATGTTTGGACCATGAAAAGTAATTTTTTTTACAGGTTCTGTCAGTCATTTACCTCTTCTCGTGTCTCTGTCATTCGCGCTGTGCCCTGGGTCAACTGTGTCAAACAAAACAGAGTGCGTCCCCAATCACCTCCAGCTCTACATACATTTACTAAGTTTACAAAGTCTGTTGTTTTTCAACCCAGACAGAGTTTATACACGTTGTTATGGAAGTTTTCTGGAAGTTGTTGAAAGGAGAACTCAGGCAGCAGCTAATGTCTTATGCAGAAGATTTTAATGTATAGACTTGATGCATCAAGGAGACCACAAGGTGAAACAACATACAAACAACAACAAATAGTCTGAAGATGTCTCCTACAGCATCCCCATATATCTCCCTCTACTTGTGTCACCCATTCTAACAGCACATCAATGAATGGCTAGAACTGCTGTCACTCTCTATGTTACATGTAGGTGTTCTCATCCTATTGGATTGTTAAGTCTTAATATGCATTCCTAAACCACATTGTGTCCTTACGTCTTGCCACTGGTGAAATACACAAAAGAGTTCAAGTTGATGAGAGTTGAAGTTGGTGCCTCTTTGTCTGGGGCATCTGAGTTAGATATGAAAGTCTCTAAGCATAGACACTAGAATGCACTGTTGGTTGATCCTTTATCTATAAACCTGACCTTTGGTACTGCTAAGAGAGAGAAGTGAATATCTGTGGAATTAGACAGGCACTATTCTCCGTACATATATAACGTAATATACATAATATATAGTGGCATATACAGTGAGGATACTGAAAAATTCCTCCACACACGTGTCCGATCACACTTGTGTGTGCGTGTGTGGAAGAGAGAGAGAGGAAAAGAGCTAGCCTGACGGCTGATGTATGTGCGCGCTGCTCTGAATGAAGATTTAACTCATTAATAAAAGTATCGATCATTATGTGATGATGAGTGTTGATATTGTGGGAACAAATAAATCAACGTTTAAACTGTAGCGAGCCATGACGCTTCAGCTGAGAGAGAGAGAGAGAGACTGTGTGTGTACTGTCACTTTTCCCTCTGGTTCTGGGATCATAAATAAGCTTCACAATTCTTTTATATAATCAAATGATGAATTTAACTCAGGACAAACGTGATCACTATAAAGTTTCCACAGTAGAGTTTAGTTGGAGGAGGCGAGTCGAGATTGGACGGAGCCGTGTCTATACACCAGTGTGTGTGGAATAATTAAGTGCCAGTTCTAGTCCTACACCTTTGTGCTGTGGCTGACAACAGTCAACAATTAATAATTTTCTCATTAGGAATAAACCTTCCTCTTGCGTGAACTGCCTGTAGCCAAATAGGTTAGGCCCACGCTACTGTATTTTAATGTTGGTCATAACAGTGGTACTTGGGGAGCCTAATATTTTCTGAGGTGGTACATGATGTAAAAAGTTTGACAACCATTTTTCAAAAAGCTGAAAAAACAACAATTTAAGGTTCCACAAAGAACTGTTTTTTTATGGGTTCCCTGAAGAACCAGTTCAATTGGGTGCTTTAGAAAACCAAGAGGTTCTTAAACTAAATTTCCCTTGGGATCAATAAAGTATCTCTCCATCTATCCATCCATACATAATCAGGAACTTTTCATTAAGAGTAAAAATCTTTAAGTAAAAATCTTTAATTGTGTTTTTTTTTTAGAAAACTAAAACTCTACCTGCTTAAACAAAATTCTTCGTCCTCAAGAAAACCCTTCATGTTTTTCCCTCAGAAATGCAACAGCACATAAGTGATGAAATTTATTATTAAATTATTTGAACAAATCAATTCAGTGCAGTGTTTTATTGTTCAGAGTAACATTTTAATTAGTACACTATAAACCCAAATAAGTAAGCAGTACTCCAAAAAATTGAGGCAATCAATTAACTCAATTTTTATGATTTCTGGCATGAGTGCATTTTTATTTCCAGGGAACTATCCCTTTGATTTAACACTACATATCACATAGAATTGAAGAGGAACTTTGCCACTGGATCTCCAATCAGTGCTGATGGTAAATGTAGTTAATTGATTCAATAAATTCCTCAGTGTGTGCCATACCAACCAAGAAAGATGTGATCTCCTGCTGGAAAATCTGTTCTTCCAGCATCAGTGATATCACAGTGATGATGTTGGCATTCAAAAAGTGCAATGCATCTTGATACATGTCAGCACTGCCTGCATGGCTCTGTGAGTGGAAGAACAAATGGTTCCTTCTTTCTTGATTAGTATAGCAGCACTGAGGAATGTATTGCTCTTTTTGCTCTTCGCTTTTTTACTGACTAAACATCTACATAAGTACTGGCAATGTTTTAGTTTAAAATATACAATTACAAGTACAAAGACAGTGTGTACTTTGTGCAATGTGGCTTAAAGCCTGTAGCGTCCTTTGGGATAGCTGAGATGTAGCTCATAGATCAGGCTGAACATTAGCAGGAAGTCTTCAGCAAGTTTTGGGAGGTTGGGAGCTTTTCACTAGGTGGTAGTGAACTGGACTGATGCCATTGCTGCTGATGGCTGTAAGGAGAGCCACTGATGCATCCTCAATATTGGCCTCATCCAAATCATCCTGAAAGAATTAGAGAGGGAGAGAGATCATACACTAATCACATCCACTGAAACACCATAAAGCAAAAACACACTGGCACCTTTATCGAAATTGAATTGATGTGTAGTTCTAAAAAAATATAAATAAAATAAAAATGAGTTCCCATTGCACTGAGTGTGTAAAATGTGTACAAGCAATCATCATGGAGGCATGATAGTGGGCTAACTCTTGAAAAGTGGTTGTGTTTACATAAAGTGCCCTGGTGGTGAAGTAGGCTGAACGCAACTTACAGTGTCAAGTCATATTAGGGGCAGCCACCTGAAAACACGAGAAAGAAGAATTTGATTTATATAATGATTAATTGATCTTGATCTTGATGATTAATAAATGAAAAAGTAAAAAAAAATCTTTACCATAAGTTTATTAGGTTCTTTATGGGGCCCCTGGTAGTTCGGGGCCCAAGGCAATTGCCGACCTTTGCCTAATGGTTAAGTCTGCCTCTGCTATTTGTTAAATTTACCATGCACTATTTACTTATTCTGTATATGATGTTGAAACTGTAGATTTATGGGAACCAATGAATTTATAATTTGAAGTTGTGCTTACACAATCTGTAAAAAGAGTTTATATGAATCAAAAATTACGAGTTAAACTTACACTGAAATGAGAGTATCGCACTGGTACTCAATATGTTTAAGTAAGTAGAACTTACTTAAACTAATTTTAATCCAATTAATTAATTTGAGCATTCAGGTTTACAGTGTATAGGCGATCAGAAAACAGTTTTAGCTTTCATCACAACATATGTAGAAGCATCATACTGCCTGGCCTGTCAAGTTAAACATGTAAAGTTGAACATCTAAGTAACCATCCAGGACACCACAAGGTATCTAGACAGGACCTGGTCTTTCTCAAGTTTTTGGGGTACTCAACATTGAAGATTTGATGTAAAGGCAGCTGCCAGGGCAAGGGAGATGTCCACGCTGCCATCATCAAGAAGCATCTAATCACCATCCACCTTCACAGTGATGGCCGACTCTCCAGGAGGGAATTGGTTCATGCAGTTACTCAGAACAAGTGTTGGTGCTGGATATACTGGATCCTGTAAAATACAATAATAAAAAGTCTGACACAACATTGTCTGAAAAGGAGACAGGTTGTTAAAAACAAGGTTTAAGCTAGTCTTAAGTTAAGTTTCTTAAGCATCCTAAGGTCCTCAAAAATGCTTTTCCACAGCAAAGTAATCTCCACAAAAAACAATATGTCTCCCTCACCTTGAGTGCTATGGACCGCTTGATGGTGCTGGGGCTGGAGCAAATAAGGCAACTAGTCATCAATGTAAACAGCTGAGAATGAGCAACTGTGAATGAGCGACTCCCACCCCACACTACCTGTCACGAAGGGAATTAAACTGCTTCATAACCTCATTCAGTTCACCAAGGGGTGGTAAAACAATGTAGTCTGCTTCTCAAATTCATCTCTTTGTTTTGGGAATCGCCATACAGCTGCAATCCTCAAGATGCCGATGTGCAGCAAGTGTTTTATCAAACTCAAACAGGAAGGATCCCATTTCACCCATCCCCCCTTAGCCCTTCCCGTTTTGCACGTTCATGTGTAGGAGTAGGCTTTCTCAATTCTTGTTGGGAAAGAGGGGTAGGGCCGAGTGTTAGGCCCTCCAAACTGAGATTTTCAGACCCACACTTAAAACCGGGGGCTACGAGAATTTCCCTGAATTCCTTGCAAATCCCCGGCAATCTGGGAGAGAGACACACAAATGTAGCATTTTCTCCATTGATTAGGATTTAAAAATTACCATACTAATTGTAATATATTAGTTTAATATTGTTTCAATCCATTATGGTCTCGAATAAACCAGAGCGAGTAATTTCTCATGCAATATTATCTGCCCCCTCTGCAAAAGCTACAGGCAATTACAAGGGGTGAGTCGCCAAATTAAAAGGACAACAAATTACTAATTTTAATAACAAATATCTTACTCAGGAGAATATGACAAAATATACCCAACACAAATAATAGATCACCACTTTAACAAACTGCATAAACTCAAAACTTAGCGGTCAGTTAAAATGTTAATTTTGCTTTTAGTCTTGCCTCACAACACCTCTACTCAACCTACGTATAAGACAGGAATGTCCATTCAATCAGCGCCATTTGCACCCCTGCCTTGAGTGCACAATTGGTGTGCTCTACATGCAAAAGAAAATAAGTCAAATTATTTTAGCTTGCTTTATATTGTATAATATTGCAATGAACATAGGTGTTCCATTGCTTGATCTAGCACCAGGAGAAAACATGCCAGTGTAACGTCACTCATTATTAGATAGATACATAGATAGATTTACTTTATTGATCTCAATTGGGAAATTGTTGTATCACAGCAGCAGGTCAAAGACATTCACAAAGAGTAAGAACAAAAAGCTAAATACAAGAGACTACAAAGACACAAGATGCAAAATTGCAGTATTAGTTTGGAAGAGACAAGGTGCAAAATTGTAAATTTTTTGAACATGACTGGGGTAATAAATATGACTATATGCAGTAAAAATTAATATAAATATAAAATGTGCAAAATAAAAAATGTATTAACATTTAATGTATTTAATGTATTATTGCAGCAGTAAATTACTTGTAAGTACTCTAAGAGGTGGGAATTGTTCTTATTGCTGTGGGCAGGAAAGATTTCCTGTATCTGTCCTTGCGGCAGCCAAGCTGAACCAGTCTGTTGGAGAAAGTGTGGAGCTCCTGTAGAACTCACCACCACTTCAGACAGAACACTGCCCAGCTGGACAAACTGAGGTCTGCCTGTCAGATAATCAGTATCCAGGAGACGGTGGATGTGCCTACCCCCAACGCTCGCATCTTCTCCCTCATAAGAACTGTCTGGATGGTGTTGAACGCACTGGAAAAATCAGCAGATGAGGGCTGTGCACTGAACCTGTTGAAGAACAAATTTATTGCACATACCGTATTTATTTTATCCATATCAGTGACGGCCCAATGATAACTACATTGCACCCCCATGTAATGTAATACAGGGATGTCATATTTGAAATATACTTCAATGATTCTTTTATTGAACAAACTTATAATTTTTCTTGAAAAATTACAGAAATATTGAAAATTCTAGGGTTGAGCCCCGTCACCCAAAGAACCGCTGACTGATATTTGCTTGTGCGCAAGCTCAGGAAAACATGCCACTATGGCAGTTATGGAAGATCTATATATTTGTGTTGACAAAAATATTTGAGTTTCACATGTCTACAATGACACTGTGTGTGTGTGTGTGTTTGTCTGCGTGTCAGCACGAGAGTAAGACAGAGGATGACAGGAAGTGGATTCAGGAGGGGATGAATAAGAAAATCAGTCCAAGCAGTTAAGATTTTACTAATTTAAGAAAAGTATCAATCATCATGCAGTGATCAGTGCTGATCCCCTACTGCCCAATTGGACTCAATTTCCCAAAATTCCCTTTGGCATGCACACGAAATTCTCACAGAAATGGGCCTTAGCCAGAAGGTCCCAGTTCACCCTCCCTCTCTCAGAGTCAAAATTGTTATTACCATGGTAATCATTTGATTGAAATACTGATCATATGATTGTACTTCTGATTGACTGGCATGGCATTATAGCCAAGACACATGCACTGCAACAGTTGTGTATTAATAAAAACTTGAAAATTCTTGGTCATGGTATACCTCACCAGAAGCATGCATTGTGGCACAGTTTTCTCAAAGGTTTTATTTTGAAGAAGTCAGAAGGGGACCCCTCTTTTTATTATTAGTGAGAAAGCAGGCTTTCCAGTCCTCATATCTATAGCAACTCTATTCTAAACTCTAGCCAGAAGCTCTTTTATTCCTGTAGCCAGAGGTATTAAAGTGTCAGCAGTTTGTGTTTGTGTGAGCTGATGTGCATGACTTCATTTTAGACTTAGTGAATTGAGAAAATGGTGGATGTGGGTGTTCTGTAGGCTGCAGCACAGAGGGAGAGATGATATTTTCAGACTGCACTGCTGGGTTTGAACATGGAAATGTGGAAGAAAAAGAAACTGTATAATCTATTACATAATCTATCTACCAAATCCAGAAATGTTTGTGGAATGCATACCTCGACTCTATCGCCACACTGTTAACCACCACTCCGTGGTTTATTGTTAGAGGCCCAGGGAAGTGCTGTGTGAATTTGGTTTGAATTGATGTCAGTGCAGCTGCTCAATGATCAAAGCAGAAGCTGCAGATGGTTTGTATCGAGCTGGAGTTTCTGTTTCCTCGTCCACTCTGAGCTGCTCTCACTATAACTAATAAACACTCATCACTAGTTATCAGGACCTGATCAGTACATGACATAACTCAGTGTTTCTTTGATTCGCTCCACAGTTTATGAGACTGCATTTAAACATCATGACAATAAGTCATCCACATAATGTGTGCGCTCAGTACAACACGAGATGTGACGTACAGTCAGGACTCAGTGTTAAAATGACCAGAACGACACAGATTCATGATCCGACACCATCGATTAATAACTAAACACATGATCATTTGTCACCTAAATCATCCCTATAAATAATGGAACAAATGAATGTGAACTAGTTCATTTTTGGAACCGTGGACTTAATTCAAAATGTAAAAAAATGAACTATGAATGTGAACTAGTTTATTTTCATTGACATGAACTTAACTTTGAACTAGTTCTTTTTAAGTTTGAATCGGCACAACACTGCAGAAGCTGTTTTATACAGACCCAGTCTAAAAATAGGTTTTTTAGATTCTGACAGACTGTTTCTATTTTAACCTTGGCACTTTTCTTGCATTTATGGTAGTCTTATTTTAACCTGCGCTGCTTTTTCTGTCTTTAGCAGTAAATCCTGGCAGCGCACAGTAGAGTTTACTTCTCTCGCTGAAAAAGTGAAAATTGGGAACAAAGAGAAAAGGTGTTAAAGCTGTTTAGTTTTTGATATTTGATGAAATTGTTTCTATGTACAATGTAGTTATATATTTAGAAAACATGGGAAACGCAAAACACTTTATTTTAAGATGCCTTTTTCAAAAGCTCTTTATTTTGTTTTTAAATGCAAACCTTATTTGAAACTTGAATAGAGAAAAGATGATTTATTTTATTATTTGGAGTACCCTCCAATTCAGTGTAAAATACTATTGAATTGTACTTACTTTAGTTCATTTGACAGTCAGTTTTTGACTTCATACGTTGAGACAACTACTAGGGTGCTTCAAGATTATTTTTTAATAGACTGCTAAAATTGAATTTACACGTGTTTTGATATTCCTCAAGAAAGTTGCTTGAATTTTACTTTCGTTTTCATTTTTTTTGTTCGACAGCTTAATGTAGATTGATATATCACTTTTACTTGAATGGAAAAAAAACCTTGGATTAATTTTATTTTGGAGAGAAATAGGACTGTAAAAGATTTTCCCTAAAAAATACCCCCCATGGAAACGAGCCTGTCTGCAGTGTTTAGGGTCAGAGGAAACATGCTCAGAGGACAGCGTCCTACTAACCCTACAGACCAGATGACAGAGAGAGACTCTCCGACCGGTCTCATCAGCTAGCCATCCAGACTGAGCTCCTACCACCCAAACGGGCAGAGTAATGCCTCCGGCACAATCCTCACCCTCTGCGCATCTGTCGCTGTCACCACCGCCCGCATCACAGCATGGCAGACAATGACCCACCCGAACGTCTGTCTCATCCATCTCCAATGCAATGAAGAAAGGGATCCTAGATGCCCCCATCTACCCAGATGGGCTGTTCGAAGCCACACCTCCAGTCTGTCAGCAGCTTGTGGGAGTTACTGATATTGATGTACTAGGTGTGTTAGTGGTGGAATAACTGGACAAATTCATTTGGAATGGGGGATAGACAGTTTACAGATTTACCTAGTGAAAGCCCCCCTCCCTCCCCATCTTTCTCTCTCTCTGTCACTGAGGAGTGGGTGAAGTGTTTGAGTCCACAAAACACTTCTGGAGTCTCAGGGGTATCGTGGTACCAAAATTTCATATTGTGACATCCCTAACTAGGACTGTACAACTTGTGCCAGGCACTCTAGGCCAGAGACCTCTGTGTAGACGCTGCAAGCTGCAGATCAGCCTGATGTGTAATGTGTGTAACTTTAGTTAACTGTGTGTTGCAGAATAATAGCGAGGACTCGCATCGTATATCTCCCAGTCCTGTGGTCCATGTCAGGGGTCTCTGCGAGGCTGTTGTGGAAGCAGATCTGATAGATGCCCTTGAGAAGTTTGGAGCCATATGGTGAGACAACAACCAGCGTGTTTGTGTGTGTGAGCAAAAGAGAAAGTTGTATCTGTTTATCAAACAATGTATCCTGTTTTATGAATTGTGGGGGTCTGGAACCTACCATACATGAACACTAGCATAGATTTGATGATGGACCCCCATGGTAAAAATATCTGTTCTTGTTAGTCTTTATTGCTACTTTCACTTTCACTGCTACTTTCACTCTATTCACACTTCACTGGAATATTTTTCAGCATGATACTGTCCAGAAAATGCTGAGTGATGACTAATGGTATACAACCCCAATCAGAAAAAGTTGGGACGGTATGTTACATTTAAAACTGAGAACAGTGATTTATAAATGATCTTTGACCTGTATTACAGTAAAAACAATACAAAAGCACATTATTTGATGTTTGACATCATGAATTGTATAGTTTTTCAAAATAAACAACTATTTCAATTTTGATTCTTGCAACATATTTCAAAAAACGTTGGGACAGTAAAGCATTTCCCACTTTGTTATGTTGCCATTCCTTTTCACGACACTTAAAAGACATTTAGGGACTCAAGACACCAAGTGATGAAGCGCTTCAGGAGTCATTTTGTCTAAGTCCTTTAAGCCTTAAGGTGTGCAAGTACAGGCACAGTACAGACACAACCCCACACCATGACAGACCCTGACTTTTGGACTTCTTGCTGGTATTAGGGGTGCACCGATCAATAAATAAAATAATAAATAAATAACCACAAAGCTGCTGCATTTGGGCATTTTTTCTTTTTGCACTACAAGGAAACCAAAAACTCAGGACACTTTATTGGTGGTTGAAGTTGTTTTTATAGTTTGTCCTGTAAATTGTTGTAATTTATTTTAAGTTTAATATTTTATTAACTACCTCAAACCTTGTGATTTCCTTCATTTGTAAAAGCAAAATACTGCTGTGCACTTTATTTTGGTAAGAGGCTCAAAACAGGTCTGCAGTGTAACCCTGTCAAACATTGAAGGCATATGCTGTCAGTTATAAAAAAAAATCGGTATCGGCCAAAATCGTAATCGGTAGGTCAGGCTTTTTAAAAACCGGTGATCGGCCAGAAAATTGCAATCGCTGCACCCTTAGTCTGGATGGTCCTATTCATTTTTGATCTGGAGCACAGGGCGTCAATTTCTTCTAAAAACAATGTGAAAAACTGACTCGTCTGACAACAATACACGTTTCCACCGTGTCATGGTTCATCCCAGTTGCCTTTGAGTCCAGAGAAGTCGACGGTGCTTCTGGACACGGTTAACATAAGGCTGCCTTTTGGCACAGTAAAGTTTTAACTGGGATTTTTGGACTATGTAATGTAGTGCTTGACAAAGGTTTGTCAAAGTAATCCTGAGCCGATGTGGTTTCAATTATAGATGAATGAGGGTTCTTGATGCAATGTCGTCCGAGGGATCGGAGAGCACGGTTATTCAGCTTAGGCTTGAGCTCTTTATGCACTGAAATTCCTCCAGATTCCTTGAATCTTTTAATAATGTTATTCACCATAGAGGATGAAACATCCAAATCCCTTCCTGTCTTTCTTTGAGGAACACTGTCTTAAACATTTCAATAATTTTCTCACACATTGTTGGCAAACTGGCGATCCTCGGCCCATCTTTGCTCCTAAAGGACTAGACCTTTCCTGGATGCTGCTTTTGTACCAAGGCATGATTACAGTCATCTGTTGACATCTCCTATTCAAATAACTTCATCTTTTAATCAATCTACCTCATCACTAGCCCTAAATTGTCCCTGTCCCAACTTTTTTTGAAATGTGTTGGATGTATATTTACAGATAAAATGAAGTTGAGCAGACAAAAACTTAAAATATCTTATGTTCATACTGTCTACAATGAAATACAAGTCCAATTAAATTTCTTTTTTTATTTGTAATTTCCATACTACCAACTTTGGGAGTTTTTCCTCTCCACAGAGAGTTATCTGGATATGAAATTATTTATTTTTGGGATATGAGATTTTAGTCATACTGTACGGCCCCAAATAGGACAGTTTTGGAGTTGCCAGTTCACCTAACGTGGGTTACAGCTGAGACAGTGATCAGCTTAAATCTATTAGTTTGCTTCTTTTTCATAATATAAAGAATGCTGAAATATATAAACCTTTTTTAAGAGAAACATTTGAGCAGGCACAAATGTTTATAGAAGATGCACCAAGTAAAAACAGAAAACACAGTGATACTGCAGTTTCAACTTGAAATGACTCCTTCTCCATTATTAACACTCCCTGCAGTATTCATTAACCTCTCACTCTCCTGAAGGGAGCTTCAGAGAAAAGCATACAGGGAAAGACACACACACAAACACATACATGCAGAGGTTCTTTAAAGGTCTTTTCACACACATGAATTCATCTTTCATTATTCTGTTGTATTGCCTTTATGTGCTTGGTAAGACCAATTTCCTAGGTTCAGTGTTTACAGCAGCATAAAAATGACTAATAGCTATCAAGATCTGAGAAGAATTGAGTACTAAGAATTAAAAATCGATCTAATTCAATTTTATTTGTATAGCGCCAAACCATAATATACATTATATCAAGGCACTTTTCATAGAAGGTCAAGTCCTTAAAATCGTATTAATATAGAGAAACCCAACAGTTCCCATAGTGGGCGATCATCTGCCTCTACTGGTTGGGGTGAGCAAAGAAAAATGGGGAGAAGAGGGGAGAGAAGAGAGAGAGATGTTGGGGAGGGGGAGAAAGAGGCGATTTTATTTTGTAAAATGTGCAAAATCACATCACACATAATCTAGAGGCACATATTGAGGTCAAGACCTTATAATCTTAAAAGACCTGTTGACAAAGAGTGGAAGAGCTGCAGTACGGCTAGCAGGGGAGGAGTCTAGGTGGAAAAGATTTGAATGAACAATATGTGTATATCCTGTTATATGTAGTGTTTGTGTGTGTGTTCTCAGTTATGTGATGATGATGCCATTCAAGCGTCAGGCCCTGGTGGAGTTCTCTGCAGTGGAGAGTGCCGATCGCTGTGTGTCGTGTGGAGCCAAGGAGCCTGTATACATCGCAGGTTTGATTCTTCTTCATTTGTGAATGCAATATCTCTGAAACGACTTCAGGGAATTCTTTCAAGGTCAAGGTCACAATGACCTCATGTTACTGTGCTTCAGTTGGCCAAGTAAAGTATGTAGAAATATGTTCACAGAAAATGCACTGGTTGGCAGAGGCATACATCGGCAGTGTGGTAAGTCTAGTTCACTGTTGAAATAGCTATAGTGCATGTGGGCACATCGTAAATGCACTTTAAAAAAACATTAAAATAGAGCCCACAGGCTTTCATTGTTCAAACTTGCTGATGAGTTATATGTGCTTATGTGTAGCATCCTGTATATGTTCATATGTTCATCAGGCCAACAAGCTTACTTCAATTACTCCACATCCAAGAGAATCACCAGGCCGACCAATGCTGACAATCCCAACAGTGGCAACAAGGTCCTCCTGCTGTCCATACAGAATCCCCTCTACCCCATAACCACGGTAAACACACACTTGTGGACTTATTTCTCTCATATCAATATTAGATATTGGGGAGTGGATCCAGATGAAAAGGGTATCCAGGATATTTTTTCACTTTCTTAACATGGCAAAATAAGTTGATAGCCTTAACAGAGGTATGTGCTTTCCTATAACCCTTCAAATTTGTATTCTTTTGACTTCATTTTTCCAGCACAAGGCCCTAATTGTAAGGCTAAATGAAAGTCTAAAGGTTAAATGACCCAGCAATTCTAGTGTCTGATCAGAATCAGTATCCTTACATAATGTTTTCGTCAGTTTGTAAGCAGGATTACTCTAAAACGTCTGGACTGGGTACTAGGGAACTTGATCAAGATCAGGGGCCAGATCCAGGATCAGGATGTTTTCTTTCTTAGACATTGCGAGATATCTTTGTGGTATTCATAAAATGCACAGCAGCCTGAGCCTGTGCATCATGCTACCTGTCCAACATGCAGCTTTGAAAAACCTTCAGATTGCCAAAATTGTTAATTTCTTTATTTTCGTTCCATTTTGTTCCAGGATGTTCTGTACACTGTGTGTAATCCCATTGGCAGTGTGCTGAGGATCGTTATCTTTAAACGGAATGGAATCCAGGCCATGGTGGAATATCCTTTGTGAAAGTGGGAATGCATGGCTTTACATTTTGCGTAGATTTGTGTGTTGGAATGTGTAGTGTCATCTCCTTAATGCTACTCTGCCAGGTTTGAGTCAGTTCAGTGTGCTCAGAAGGCCAAAGCTGCACTGAACGGAGCTGACATCTACGCTGGTTGCTGTACACTCAAGATTGAATACGCAAGGGTAAGAAATGCAAAACACATTAGTAGTCATAAGCCTGATGTATTCTCTGATGTTGATATTAACAATAATGTGGCACAGTTGCAAGGTTTTCTCCAGGGAGGCAGACAAAATTAATTGTAGATTCTTAATAATGTCTGTGAGTGGTACATTAGAGTAATCAGGGTAAGTCCTTATAACAAAATGAAATGTTTTTTCACAGGAATGTAGCAATGCCCTTTTGGTATAAGATGCTGGTATATTTGCCGGATTGGTTTTGGGGGTGTCCCATATACAATAAATAATACATATCTGAGTAAAGCACTGCAACATGAGAGAAACAACACACAAATCATAAATGGTGTCAAGGTGCTCACAGCTGTCTGTACACCCAACACCCCAGTGTGAAAGAGGATTCAGTGCCATGAACATGACTTAATGTTGATATGAACCACCACATAATGATTGACAGTTTTCTTAAATTGGTCAAATCTTTCTACATAGCTTTGTGTGTTCATTCACTCATTCAGCTCCTCCTTACTCGGATATCTTGATATCATTTTTCGCTTTCTTGCTTGGACTGACACACACACACACACACATCGACATACGCCCACAAACATTGTCATTGTCATTAGAGACCAACAATATCCTTTAACCTACACAGATATATAAATATTATTCTTTTTGGTTGCTTAGTTTAGAATCTGGATTGTTTACAAACGTCATTGTGCAATTGTATGCTGAGATCACTATACAGGAGGACTTGAATAAAATCGTTGTACCTGTTGTATTCTAACAATATGAAAATCAGTCTACTTACCTCTATGTTCATTTTTTATTTTCTCTCAGGTGAGCTTGAACCCCCAAAGTCGCACCTGAAATAATAATGCTAAAACTGTTATACACACCATGAGAATATATGTAAATTACACATTAATGAAATAGAAACAAAGACAAAATTATAGTCAGATCTACTCTTGCCCTATTATGATAGGACAGTTTAACTGTTAAATTTCTACGCTTCAAACAATCTGTGAGCTTTCACTAGCTGTCCTTCCTGTGTTTGAAAACGAATTGTTTCTTTTAGTCTGGATAATGTGTTTGTACACATGTGGTTCTACTTCCAGTACACTTGTCCATGTCAGCAATACAGATATAGGAGAAATTGAAGAAAAGCTTTTACTTGTTGTATTCTAAAGACATCAAAATCAACCTTACAACTTATTTTGTTAGTGCCATTTTCTTGGACTGCTTCGAGTGATTAGTGAGAATCAGCTGCAGATATGCCAGGAACCTGTAGAGGAGAATGACCAAGTCTGCCACATCAATCAGAATACATGACTTCACACACTTTTTCACAGAGGAGGGAGGAGCAGCCAGGGTACAGACCATGACACATGCAAAAACAACAAAGGTTAATTACATGAGGGACAGAGAATGAGAACCACAGCTGTAACAAGGGTGAAAACAATACCCTTCCTATGCAGCCATACAGGGTAAAAATGTTATTTTAGAAGATATTTTTGTCAACCAGGGCTCTTATTTTTCATTACACGTGGCATCTATTGCACTTCTTTCTGTCCTGGGAGAGGGATTCCTCACAAGTGAGGTTTCTTCGTTCTTTTTCCCTGTTAAAAGGTGTTTTTTGGTAGTATTTTCATTGCCATCAAGAAATCTGAGCTGTTCTTGCAAAAAGGATTATTGTTATTTCACCGAGTTACACTGGCCACATACCATTAGTCTTCATACTGAGCTACGAGCCACCAGCTAGCTGAACATATAGTCTAAACCAGTTATTCTCACACTGTGTGGCGCGCCCCCCTGACAGCATGACCGCTCCTGTTCTTTGTTGTTTTTTTTCGCGGTAAACCTAATGTTTTACCTGGACTCATTTTTCACATTGAGAGAGAGACAGAGAGAGAGAGACGGAGAGACAGAGAGAGAGAGACACGGAGAGACAGGGGGAGAGATTCTTCTTCCTCCAAAGGGGGGCATGTCAGAAAAAGTTTGCGAACCACTGGTCTAAACCCTGGTTTGTCTCCCCAAACCATTGTTTCTTTTCCAAGAAGGTAAGAGATCATTCTTGCAGAGGTATTTTATTTATATGGTCCAAATCTGTGAAGTGTGACTTCCTTTGCTGCAGTGGTGCGCCTTACATTGAGCTGGTGTGTCTATGTGGATTTCAGCGAGTTGTATTGCTGAGTTTACACTCACGGGCCCCGCCCCCACTCACTTACTCAGGGAGTAACAGACAGTGAAGCAGCGACAAAAAGTGTGAATCGCAGAACGATCAGTCACTGCTTCAGGATCAGAGCAGAAGCAGCAGAAGCAGCAGTTGGTTTGTACCATGTCAGAGTCTCTGTCTGGGTGTAATCCTTTCACACTCCTGCTGACCTGTGCTCACTTTACTTGGGGGGATCCGGTGCTAATGATATGGGGGTCAGAGACATGTTTTTTCAGTTTTACACGCTGCCACGCTCAGCTGGGAGAGCTTGTCTTGAAGCAGAGCAGAGATTGTATTGTTAAATGCAGAGCTGAAGAGCACAAACAGGATCCTAGCTGAGGTTCCTAGGAGTCCAGATGCTGGAGGATGAGGTGGAGAGCCATATTACTGCATCATCCACAGATTTGTGGGCTCTGTAAGCAAACTCTATAGGGTCTAGGGTTGGTGATGTCCTTGAGGTGGGACAGAACAAGGCGTTCAAAAGACTTCATTACCACAGAAGTCAGGGCATAGGTCTGTAGTCATTAAGTCCTGTGGTCCTTGGTGTTTTGGGATGGGGATGATGGTGGAGGATTTGATTTGAGTATATGTGCATCAAATAGTACTTAACAATAAAGCATGGCAGAGATGATATTACTTATGTATGCGGTGAATACAGGTGGAGCATGAGTGCAGCACCTGTATATCTGATACACTGAACTGGATCCTGAACAATTCTTTAATCTTTGTGTCAACAGCCAACGCGTCTGAATGTGATTAAGAACGACAACGAGAGCTGGGACTACACTAAACCGTATTTGGTCAGACGAGGTAAGACACGTGCCGTCTCCCTGTCTCTCTTTTTTTATTTTTCTCATTTTTCCACTTAAATCAGACTACACTGGATTGTTTAGGGTAGTCAAACCTGTGATGTTGAAGGTAGGACTCACTGGTGGCACATTTCCCTCCACTGTAGCCTCTCTTGATTCATTTTACACCAGTAAATATATCTTATTTTTAATAGTCATGAGGGAAACTGTATCCAGATCTTCATTCATTACGGGTCAGTCTTTGACCGCGGATTAAGAGTAGTCATAAACAGACTGGACCCTATACCTCATCACGCCAAGACTCGTCTACCTACTGTCTGTGCATCTCCAATCTTAACACTCTCATACCGGCGTCTCACAAGCCTGCATCTGCGCTTACCATGGGGAGAGAGAGAGAATCATTGAGGGAGAGAGAAAAACAGAGAAAGAGGGATGGACGTCAGGCTGACCATGCACAGCATCTTTCTTTCATCTGCACCCTCTGCAACCCAGCAAAAAGAGAGAGAGGGAGGGAGAAAAAGAGATGGATTTCACTCCTGCTGACCACCATGCAGCTGCTGCTTCAACATGCCCAGGAGACCTCAGCCCCATCTCTGTATGCTGGACTCCAGTATTACTTCCTTCTATCTATTCCACTTGCATAACCTGATGTTTGGTTCACACATTGTGATAAACACTTCAAGGCCTGTAGATTCTAGATTTTACTCTCAATGGTTCTTTGATGGATCTATACCCTAAACTGCCCTTTTTCATTAGTTTACACTTCATAGTGTGGACCAGACATACATGTTGTTAATCTAGAGTCTGGATATTTGAATCTACAGGATGGAATGTCTGTCTTAATCTTTGCTCTCTTTCAGTTTACTTCATTAAGGGCCGTCCCAATATAAAAATGTCATTAGAATTTCAGTGGCAGAAAATATTCAAATAATTGTATCATTGGAATATAATATAATATATATAATATTAAGAATCAACATTGAAACATTATTGAAGATGTTCATTTAAAGGAGCGAAATATTGGGGCAATCAGTGTGAGTCTCTGGAAGCCTTCTACATAAACATGATTTTCTAATTATTTATTTCAAACATTTGTCTCTGAGTCTGACTGAAAGTAAAAATAAAGAATGTATCTGGCAGGAACGGCCATGATGCTAACTTATTGGCATCTACATTCAGGTCAACTTGCTGGCTGACATAATCACCCTTTATAACATGAATATAACCAGATGCTATGGTTTATTGCAGGTGGACCTCACATATTATAATTCCCCACTTTGTTGTAATTGCTTCTCTCTAGGTCAGCTGAGTATTTTTATTTGTCAGTTTTAGGGAGATGAAGATGAGATGACAATGTTGACAAGCACTCAAAATTATATATACTATAATATATAATATATACATATATTGGAAATACACCAAAATTAAAAATATTAAAATTATCCTTTAAGATATCGGTTAGCATTTCATTGCCAAACTCAAAAGATCGTCTTTTGTAGAGTACTGCTGAAAACAATAATATAAACAACACTGTATATAGACTGAATAAACAATTAGAATAGTTTGTTTGTATGTGTGTGTGTGTCTGAATGAGTGAACTATGCATGAGAATGGATTGATTTTTGAGAGAAATGAAAGTTTTAAAAGTCAGCTTATCTGCAGAAATTTAATGTAAGGTTACTGTTAAATTAAATGACAATTTATTTCTTAATAACATATGTAAATACTGTTATATAGTGAAAAACAGTATATCTTGACCCCCACTAATCTGAATGCCTTGTTTACAGTCACTGTATATTAAGACGTGTGCATGGATGTGGCTTTTGTAAACCAGTCCTGAGAATGTTGATTAGTAGATTTTTAATAGAAAAGATTAGATTGAATCAGTGACTTACAAAAAACATGGCCAAACAACTGTCCTACTTTAATCTTAGTTGTCTATTCTATGTTATCCATGCATGGCAGTGTGTACAGGGAACTTTTAAAAATGGTACATTCTTTATACTGCATATGTGTAGCCGATGATTCATTCTTATGTTTAATGTTTTTGTGCTAAGATTAATGTTGAGGTCTGTTTATTCTTAATTAATTCAGTTCACAAAGTGAGATTACCTTTCCCCAAGTGCCATTGAGGATTGGTTCAAAACTATTGTTATTTATGAAATATTCACTAAATAAATCCATGGTAGTATGTTGTTTGTTTTCATTGGAGGCTCATTGCAAGGACACAGACTGGGACAAATCACCACAGCACCAGGATCAAACTTTATTTAAGGAGGCAATCCACCAGGTTTCCAACAAGCATGCTTCCTAGTGTTGGGAAGTGGTCCTGCATATATGACAACAGTAGAATAAAGCCTTAAATGTCTGTGAAGGGAGCTGTGTCTTTTAAGTTTGATAAATGTCTTCAAGTGATGCTACCTAAGTCTGTGAGTTGGTTCTGAAGACTACATGTTTGAGGAAAAAAACAGGGTTGTGAAGTGAGTACATTAAACCTCAGTCACCCACTGCTACCTCTCCCACAGGTCTGAGGTAAATTATCTCCAACAAGGCATTTGACAGTGTTGTAAAAGTGCAATACAAGTGCAAAATGGAAGACGATCAAACTAAATATGCCTGTTTAAAAAGATCAGTTTTTAGATAAGATTTCAAATGTAAGTGCTCCTACTATAACTGTGTGACATAGATTGACAGTGAGCTACTCAGTACTCTAGATACTTATGTAGTTACGTACAGGTAAATGTTTGTCTTTTGCTACTGTATAGCAGACTGATTGACCATCAGCAGCGGTGGGAGAAATGCTACCTGCGTTGATGGGAGGTTGTCATTCGCCATCCATAAAGATTTTACTGTCTTCGGAAGGGATTTAGCATAAACTTGGTAGATACTGCTTTTGCTGTGTGCATTCACATAACAAGCATACAGGTCTTTACTGCAGGGGTGTTCCCCACACCCCTGCTCCGACCAGTCAGCTCAAAAATGTAATCATCTCCTGTCCCAAGTAACATTCACACCAAATTTGGTGAAAATCTATCCATGCAAGTTGTTGTGCTCACACACGCACTCACACAGACAGGAGTGCAACAAGTATTTGTTGCACATAGGGTAATGAAGCATGAATGAGAACCATGGAATCAACAAACTACCAGTTTAAAAATGAAGTTATGCACAGCAGTAATCTATAACATTGACATCTTATTACAATGGCAAAATATGACACTACTTGTATTGGAGACTGCACATGCCACACAAATACTACTGTTGCCTATTCATATTAATCAACCTAAAATAAATGGCAATGACAGTTTTTAGTCTTAGTGTTTTGGCCATTTTCTTTGCTTTAAAGTAAAAATCAAATGGCCACATCACATAAAGATGGTGGCTGATGCAATCAGTAGTCATGGCATGTGATCAAGCAGATTCTCAGAGAAAAAAGTCTGTGTCATTTCAATGGGCCTCAAATGTAATATATAGTTTGAATATCACTTTTATACTGCTGTATGCATAGCATTCACGTGTTGTGGATGAGACAGTTTGTGTGTGTGTTTGACAAACACAGTGATGATGGTAATATTTTTATCATTATGATAATAATGTAATGCAGGTTGATGTTCTTTCGTGCTGTGGGAGAAAAAAGGGAAAGCTTGATGCCTCACAGGTACTGTCTCTTTCATATCTTTGTTTATGTGACCTCTGTATCAATATAACTGCCTCCCTCTGAATAAAACTACCTTAAAGCTGTTTATTTCTTATTTGCCCACCTTCACCATTACAGTAAAACGTACTGAGGTTTTAGTTATCTGTAGAAGCATTGCCAATTGTGGTTTATAGAAATTAATTAACTTTAACACAAATTCATATTGACACACAACTGATTTGTAGGACTGAGGAGTGTTTGTTGATTAAGCAGGTGCCCTTGTATCTGACTTTCTTACCACACACTGCTGGAAAAAAAGCTTGTGCCTTATTGCCTTGATTTTGTAATTCTAATCTTTGAATGACAGTTTGCAGCACTGAGACCAAAATAACAAATTGCATAAAAGTCACATCTTTTCATTGAGTTAACATGAATGTGTTAATATTTAAACTAACAATATTAATTGTTGTTAAAATGTCTTACAAAATTACAAAACGAAGTACCCCTCCAGTGACTGAAAACCATGGACAATACAGAGAATTGTTTGGATAATGAAAACATCCATGAAAACCTTTCAAACCATTCCTGCTGCATCATTCTTCACTGCCAATTCTTATTCCTTCAAACTTGGACATGTTTAAAATGGATGAGAGTTGATGCACTCAAGCAGATCTCGGCTATTACTTGAGAAAAGCATTTGCAGTGCCCACTGGATTCTACCAAGGCTGTTTCATGTTCAATTTCATGAACAGACTCCTGAGGTACAGCAGGCACTGTAGAATGTCTTTTGTAATCCATAATTTTTTTTGCAGATTATGTGATTCTTCTGACTTTATCAACTCCTACATATTGGGACGGCTTGCTGGCAAGTGTGAATTGCCAAGACTTCTAAGACTTCGATGTTGGTGGTACTCTGTACGAGTAGAGAGGATCTCAGTTGCTGAGTAATACAGTGTCAACAAACAGCTTAGGCAGTGATGTGGTTGTCACAACAGAAGAGGGATTTCTTCTGAAGACAAAGGTGTACTTTGACCACTTGATTCACATTCCAACCTTTACTTGTGATTATGGGCTTTAGGTAGTGACCAGTCATTGCCATTGCTCTCAGGGGAGGCTGTGGATTAGGGGAAGAGTGGTCATTCTCCAACCAGAAGGTCGGCAGTATGATCCCTGTCTTCCTCATTTGCATGCCAAAGTGTCCTTGGGCAAGAAGCTGAACCCTGAATTGCCCCTCATAGAGTGCTGCTAATAGATGCACTGTATGAATGTGTGTGTGAATGGGTGAATGGCAAACTATACTGTAAAGCGCTTTGAGTGGTCATCAAGGCTAGAAAAGCAAGACTAGAAAAGCGCAATATAGATACAGACCATTTACCATTGTGGATGCAAGCATGGGAAATTTGTTTCATTTGTGGTGGTGCTGTTCTCTCTATTAGAGACAGGTGAGGAGCTCAGACACATGCATGAGGCTGAAGGTGAAAGCTGGGTTTCTACATTCGAGAGGAACGCTTAAGGCATAAGTGGGTACCCTTAGGAGTAAACCTAGAGGCTGGTCCAAGTAGAACCCCTCAATAGGCAGAGCTGGAAGGACAGACAGTGGGCCTCTGCTGGATGACTTGGAGACTGAAGGTCTGACGTAAAGGCTGGCAGTACAGACTGTTAAATTGCAGGTTACATTTTGGCAGTGGCTACCTGCTGGTGGGAAAGTAGGATGCTGACAAGGAACCAGGAGCTGTTATGAGACTGGATATCAGGAGGTGGTGCTGGCCAGATCACACTTTTGAGCTGGTAGCCACCAGCTGGGGATTGGTAGCTGATGGCGGCCAGAGTGCCACCTTGGGATGGCATTGGGAGCAGATGTTGACAGGACTGCAAATCAGCAACAGGTGTTGGCTGGACTACCAATAAAGGATCAGGACCACACTTTTGCTATACTACTGATGACAGAACAGGAGCAGGTGTTGACAAGGGTACAAGAAGCAGGAGTAATCCAAACTCAAATGATGAGCCAATGTCAGCCGGGCAGGTGACTGGAAACAAGGAACAGAAATTGGCCGACTACTGACTGGAAATCAGATCAGCCTTGAAATCTGAGGTTGAGGTATGTGATAATAGCTGGGAACCTGGAACTGAGGTGTGGATTGGCTTTTGATTTGGGCTGGATGGGCAACTGGGTGTCTTAACGACTGGCAACTTGGTGTGTCAGCTGAGCCTCCTAGTGGCAACAGTAGCGATGAAGGATTATTTATTGATTTACATTGTATAATTTGTTGAGAACAACAAATCACTGAGCTTCTAGACAGTTTGTGGCTGTATTTTGCATGTACAAAATACATAACATCCCATCGGTGCTCATTTGGATTTACGTAGTTCAGGGGAACGTAAGGGCCAGTCAGTGGCATCAATGACTTCATCATCCAGGAACTGTCTACACAATCTGGCCACATGAGGCCAAGCATTGTCCTGCACCAGGAGGAACCCAGGGCCCACTGCACAAGCTTAAGGTCTGACAATCGCTCTGCGGATTTCAGTACCTAACAGCAGTCAGGGTTCTCCTGATTGCCACCCTCAAAGAATATGCCTCCACAGACACGGGGAGTGGCTGTGGCTGAGGGGTTGAGTGGTCATCCTCCAACCAGAAGGTTGGCGGCCCGATCCCAGTCAAGATGCAGAACCCTGAATTTCCCCTCATAGAAAAAAAAGTGCTAATAGATGCAGAGTATGAATGTGTGTTTGAATGGGGCACCAATTCTGGTGGTCTCTGGTGAATGTCAGTCGAGCTGCATGGTGCTGGGCTGTGAGCACAGGTCCCACTAGAAGACGTCAGGCCCTGATGGAGTCTTTTTCTGACAGTTTGGTCAGAACCATGCACACCAGTAGCCTGCTGGAGGTCATTATTTAAGGCTCTGGTAGTGCTCCTCCTGTTCCTCAGTACACAAAGGTTCAGATACCAGTCCTGCAGCTGGGTTGATGTCCTTCTACAGCCCTGTCCAGCTCTCCTTGTTTAACCGCCAGTCTCCTGGTTTCTCCTCCATCCTCTTGACACTGTGCTGGGAGACACAGCAAACCTTCTTGTGACTGCATGTATGTGTGCCTGAAGGAGCTGGACCACCTGTGCAACCTGATTGGGCTGCAGGTCCCGCCTCATGCTACCAGTAGTGTCAAGAACCCTGGCAGGACAGTCAGAAGGTTAAGGAGAAAGAAACTGTCTTGTGGCCACCACATGCAAAACCATTCTCGTTTTGGAGGTTGTCTTGCTTTTGCCTCTCCATTGCACCGGTTGTCACTTTCATTTGCACCAAAGCAGGTGGTGTTGCAAGGCAAATTTTACTGACTTGGTGTTATACTGTGGCGATTAAGTGTTTTTTGAGCAGTTTATATTTCAGCCTATATGATTTATCTCTTTAGCAGTTCACTGTCTCTAAGTTGTATGCCAGATTTATGGCTGTCCAATGATGCAACCAGTCTACAGACTTAGAGAGGTGATGAGCTACAACACTAGGATGAGATAAAAACCTGTTGTTTTATGGCATTGCAGTACAATGTTGTTAATGGCAATAAGGCACAAAACAAGTTACATCATCTTGTGGCATTGTAAAGTTATGTTATACAACATCTCTGAAACAATTCATAGTTTTTTTCCTGTGCACAACCAAAGAAAACTTTATATAGGCTGAAAGTAGCAAGCTAACATTAATTGTGAGGGCTGCTAATGGAACTTGGGTTAAATAGTTAGCTAGAACACTCCTTACATTTGATTTAGCCTAGGATACTTAAACAAACACCAAAACATAAAAGGGTCTCGCTTCGTGGTGGATCATCAATTTTCTGAACCTCAATGTTATGATCTCAACAAGCCTGGGCAAATTACTGAGTAGATGCAATTCACAGGCTGCACATGTCATCACATAGATGTTTTGCAGAAATAATTTTATAGAATTTTTTTTATCGTACAAAAATACAAAACACTAAAGTATTTTGACACAAAATATGAATCCATTTCTATCAAACCTATCAAATTACATTTACAAAATACTATTTTGTTTTTCAAGTACATAAATAGTAAATCCTGCCCATCCCTACTGATGGCAAATGTACAAACAGGCTGGAAGGCTCTGGATCCACTGCTACCCACAGTGGAAACTCACTGGAGAGTAATAGGTCTTGTGGTAGCTGAAGCTGGCTGGTGACTAGCCAACCGGGTGGCTGGTTGTAGTGGCAGATTATAACACCACTAAAGATAAGTCCACTTGATGAATACACATAAGTAGTCAGACAAACATACAGGTTATAAACAATTCACCAGAGTGAATCAAGACACGGAGAGAACAAATGTGACAATTGTGACAAATGTAAAATTATTCAACAAACTGTGTGTGTGTGTGTTTGTGTGTGTTTTTCAGAGCGTGGAAAGGGCAGACAGAGGCAAGCAATTTTAGGAGAACACCCATCATCCTACAGTGAGAATGGCTATGGTAAGACTAAGACACATGCACACACATACACTTGGAATTAAAGTGGTATGTATAACTGAATCAACATCCTCCAACATCATCAGAGGAGAAACTTGAAGCTCTTCTACACACACACACACTCACAGTCACATGGGGTAGGTTTAGATTGCCAGTCATGTGTAATTGTTAGAGGTTCAGCAGAACGTATAACTTTACCCGGATGAAAACAGATACTTGCCAGCTACACTGTCTTATAGCAGTTTCTCAACACACATACACACACACACACACACACACACACACACACACACACACACACACACACACAGTGATAAGAGTTATCAGAATATCGCATACATGCGATGATGCTACACAAGATTTTGTGCAGTGCTTGTTCATTTTTACCAATTGTAATGTACTGTTTATGTTTAGAGGTTCTTAAAGGCTGTGATCCCCTGACTGTGCTGAGAAATAGAGGATCAGATCCAATGTCTTTGTTATGTATAAAGATGCATTATAAAATTAAGGTGAAGCTAAATTGAGGATATTGTGATTGTAAAATGTATGTATTTTGTTATGTATTAAATGCAAAGGAATCACAGCTTTAAAAAACATTTTATGAGAGACTTATATAATTCCAACATAAAACAACACTTTCAAAATTAAAATTTGTAAATTGGTTTTAGCTTTTTGAGTGATTAACATATATGATTCTTATTGGACTGTAACTTGTACAAAGCATGTTGTCTGCTAGACAGGAGGCATTTTAATCAAGTCAAAAGGGGCAGCAGTAGCTCAGTCCATAGAGATTTGGCTTGGGAACCGGAGGGTGGCCAGTTCAAGTCCAGCATGGAAGTATGGAAGGTGGACTGGTAGCTGGAGAGGTGTCAATTCACCTCCTGGGCACTGCTGAGGTGCACTTGAGCAAGGCACCGTACCCCCCAATTGCTCGCAGGGTGCTTCTCCAGGGCTGCCCATCACTCTACCATCTCTCTCCAAATTTGCATGTCTTTGAGCCCCTTGTGTGTGTGTGGGATTGTGGGTTAAACTGCATGTATAAAAAAATGAAAATGAGTGTAAAAAGAATTTCCCCTTAAGGGATCAATAAAGTTTCAATTATAAATGGGAAATTAGAAATTTGACCTCTGTATTTAACCCATCCATGTGAACGGAGCACACACGGAACACACGGAACACAATCCACACAGTGACCACACACGGAACAGTGGGCAGCAATTGGGGGGTTCAGTGCCTTGCTCAAGGGCACCTCGGCAGTGCCCAGGAGGTGAACTGGCACCTCTCCAACTTTTGTCCATGCTGAACTTGAACCGGCCACCCTCCAGTTCCCAAGCCAAGTCGCTATGGACTGAGCTACTGCAAGATATGTTGCAGATTATACATCGAGCAGTATTAAAGTACTGCTCCCTGACCAATCAATTGGTTTGAAACAAGACATCAACATTCTTAGAGGATCCTGTGGAAAAAAAAGAAAAAAGGATCCTGTGGTGCTCGTGCGCAGATTGTTTGAGGGTCTCTGAGGAGGACATGGGTCTTCAGAGAAATAATTTTCCCTACTTTGATGAGTATCTTTATGAGTATCTTTATCAGAGGGAGTAATAACTTGTCAACTGCCGAACATAACCAACCTAACATGTGCTCACATGCTCCTTTGCTTGTTGGAGTTACTTATATTGGTATACTAGCTTTGTTAGCCTCAGGATAACGAGACATAGCATAATACATTTAGTCTTCCTTTTAAGTAGGTCTCTCTCTCCGAGACTCGCGCAGTCAGCCCTTACCAAAATGACACTACACTGTTTTTGCACTCTCCTTAAAGGCAAGAATAAGGGATAAAAGTATAAAACCATGTCTGGTTGGTTAAGTCCCAACCCAAATTTCACCGGGGGTTACTTCCACATTCACAAGATCAGTGATTTTTTACCAGCTGTCCTTCCTCCATTTAGCAGCTGTAACTTTGCTTCTTTTCGCCTGGATGTGTATTTTTCTAATACAATAGTTTTTTTCTTTGTTTGTGAAATATGCGGCTCTGCTGCCAGTCAAACCTGTCCGTGTTGGTGAATGGTCATATGCCTTAAAACCCTGTCCCTTTTATGTGCACAGGCTCATATCTAAACGAGGAAAGCCTGGGTTGACTTAACAAGTTGATAACCAGTGCTGTGTGACCGTTTACCCTGACTGTTAGTTGAAATCGAGCCAGATTATGGAAAGATATCCATGTTATGTAGAGTTTACTTATTAGTACAGGCCCTTGTTGATAGCAATTAAATGTTACTAAACTTTATTGAACTGTGCTGAGAATCCTACTCTCTCTGCCTCCTTAGGTCCACCCTGCCCCCTGCTACCTCTGCCTGGTAACAGCAGGTATAAGCTCACAGTGGATGTTCCAGACATGGTGTCCTACCCTCTGCCCCAATCATCTTCCTCATACTCTGGCCACGCCCCTAGCTCTGTTGCCATGGTGAGCGGCCTCCATCCATCCAAAATGAACTGCACCCGCATCTTCAACCTCTTCTGCCTTTATGGCAACATTGAGAAGGTAGTTGTTTGTATATCCTTAAGTTGTTCTTTGAATTTTGCTGCTTCATGTATAGAAACAAACAAATGTATGTTGTAAATGTGGTTTTACACTATCATAGTGCTACAGGCAATGCACCTTAAGTTTGTTCTGTTAATTTATCTTATCAGTTTTTAATCTTATCTATAGATTATTTGTTTCTTCACTATTGGTATCATTTCTTGAATACACCTATACAGTATATATTATCCACTCTCCTGTCTAATTTCAATCCAGCTGACTCCCACGAAACACCTGTATCTGCCTTCGTGAGTAGTGTGTGAGGTGGTCCAGTGCATCTGAGTGCAATGTTACTGACAGTGGCATTTCACAGAAGTGACACAGACCAGTGAGTGACGGTGGTGCATAATTAGTCTTTTCATCCTGTGGGTTGAAAGATAGCAGTAGTGATGAGCTAATTACACATCCAGATGTTAAAGATGGCTCCACAAGACAGGACTAAATAGCTAAACTCAGATGAAGAAAGTTCAAAAGGCAAATTCCTTTATTCGAAAAACAAGGCCAGTACATGAGTCCAACACAAGTCCAAACACAGGCGAAGGTATCCAAGGTAGTAAACTATGGCTAAACAAGTGATCAAAAGACAGGTGCTCTACAAGAACAGCAGGAAAAACTGCTGGAAAACACAAGAGGATACAACTCTCTGGCAACAACGGAGGGTAGCACACAAACTAAATCCACACAAGGGCAGGAAAGACTTGTCTAGAGAATTGCACACATGGAGGACATTCAAGCACAAGTGAAACAGATTCGAGCGAGCAGGTGATCACACAGGAGGGAAAGTTGATAGGACATGCGATCTGAAATGAGAGACAAGACACAAGTTACCAAAATTAAACAGGAAAACACAGATGAATAATAAAACATAACATAAATTTAAGGAGCCTGGCGAGATGAGACACCTGTTGTCATAGTTATACACACTTACATCCTGAGATAATATTCTGCTGCCACCACAAGAGGGCATAAATTAAAAATTAATGCAAGCAGGCAACATCAGATCCTTTATGAGACACTGTGATGATATGGGATCAGATATAAGGAGAGATATCCCTTCTTACTTAATGTCTATTTTTAGATTTAACAGGTCAAGTACTGCCTGAATTGCTTGCCCTCACTCAAACAACCTCAATACTGCTCTTCTGTACTGTTACGTTTTATGTGCAAATTACCTCCTCAATTCATTGGTAAAAACAAATTTAAACTTGAATAACAAAAATTGTATTTATATAGCTCTTATCTAAACAGGGTTAAAA